TTTTGCCCACTACCTTTGTGTAAACTATGATTACAAAATGTATAACCGTTTCAAAATGGCGGTTTTTCATAGCTTAATATCTTAAAAACTATAAGATATTAAGTCAAACTAAAAGTTTTTTTGACCAATTAGCTGTTTCTTTAACTCCTTATAACACTGTCGTCAGCTCCAAAGTTTTCCATTTATTTTATTACAAAAAAAGCAACTACCCATTTAATAATGGTCCGATCTTAACATTATTTGCACGATCTTTTAGTAAATAAAATATCGCAACTTTTGGTATCGTGTAAAATTTAAAAATATATAGTTTTTAAGATATTAAGCTTTGAAAACAAAAAATAGCCACCATTTTGAAACGGTTATAAATTTTGTATTCATATTTTACACAAAGTTAGTGGGCAAAACGATAAACAAATTTGATGAATTTTAATGCTATAGCTCAAAAACCGTTAAGGAGTTATGAACGTCTTTTAAAAAGCACATACAGACAGACAGACGTTAAACGGGTTGAGATAGGACACATTGCATTTGCTTGTTTTGATCTCCCGAATAATCTGGTAATGTTTGTCCTAGTCGAAGCTGGACCCACCGTGTAGTTAAAAAGGATATCGTTTACTCTACATTAATCACTATGGATTCAAATATGGAATCATTCACCATTGAGATCGCATCTATATGAACCAGCTGTAGCAATTTGTTATTAAAAATATATAGTTTACTGAACTACTCACAGAGAATATTGCACTCTGAAGTTCATTTTCACCCTAAATTTGTGTTGCTGTGATAGCAGATGTGAAGTAAAACATGGTATAGTTTTAAATACGTTGAATAAATTATGTAGACATACTAAAAGTGGGGCCACTAAAGTCTAATACTCTATCCATAAATACCTGTAGCATACACCCAATTTAAATTTAACAATTTGATAAGGTTTGACATTTATACATCGGATCCCATGCAAATAAGGTATTTTCCTACAGCCACCTGACAAAGTGGCCTTCCTTGCACTGATTATAGCACAGATAGTTGCTAATTGCTGCATTTACTTACTTTTGCCGAACTTTTTTCGCATTCCAGTATTCCAACCAAACAACACAAAACAGCGTGCTTTTATTAGACACGTAATACGTGTACGCTTGAAAAATAAGTTGGCAACGCTTAAAGATATTACGACTACGATCAGCTGGTGCAGTGTTTCACATTTCGTTCAATGTTTGTATTTAGCCTAACCTAAAAACTTGTTATACAGTGTTTGAAAGAATAATTATTTATATGCTTTATAGTAACTGTAGGAAAAATATAATGTGTAACGCGAGTGCAAAGGGCCACTTCGCCTTCTAGTTACACAAATATATATTATATTATTGTGCATACAAATAAAAAGGTTGACATATCTCAGAACTGTACAGAAAAGTTATTTGGCCTTACAGCAAAAGATATTAGTAAATTTAATTTTTGAAGAAAAACAACTCACATAGGTTACACAGTACATAAATAAGTTTCAAAACTATTTTTATTTCTGCAGCTAATAAAATTGAATTGAGAAATAAAATAAAATAACATAATATGGTGTATAATGTAAATAAATACTGGACTTCTTATTTTTATAGTAAGTTCTAAATATAGATTGTTGCCAACATATGAAAGGTGAAATTCAATTTTTTATCTAATGAATTGTTTGACACAATGTTGACAATAGAGATAAAACTGGACATTCACCTGCGTACATTGCAGATGGACCAATGTTTACATCAGGAAAACACATTACACGTTAACTGGCAAATATTATTATATTATGTACTTACCGTTCACTTACTATGTACATACCGTAATATCGTTCAGTAAACCCCAGAATAATTGTCACAAATACTGCATATAGAAATTCTATCGTACATACAATCGTACATACAAAATCGGATGGTTGACCGATTTGAGCACCCGCCTCCTTCAAGCCTAATTTTCAGCCTTATAAACTTTATCCAATTGCCACATTCACCCTTACTATATCTTCATATTTTTTATCGAACAATAAGACACTACTTGCATTAAAATTTTAGATTGAACACATTGATATAGTAGGTACCAAAACTTGTATGCACATTTTCTCAAATCATTCAACAATCATGCAACAATTTTACAAAAACACAAAATTTCCTAAGACTTACACATGACTATTAAGCAATATAAACACAACTTAAGATTTAAAACTTGGTATCCAGGGAATAACATCAGTATTCCAAAGTGAGAGCAACAGTCCTGGAATCCTTGGAGGCAATTTCTAAGATTTATATTCTATGGAGATAAATGCAAATTATGTAACACAAATGTATGTATGATTTAGGTTCAACATTTCAAGCAGAAATACATTTATTTTGTATATCAAAAATATTTGAAAGTGGTTCAGTAAATAAGTTAGCTTATGGTTGATGATACAATTTTAATTGAGACACACTTGTAAATAAAGGCAATAAAGAAATTTTGTATTTACTACTCTTTACTGTATGACATGAGTTTTCAACAAGGACATACAAGCTATTTATACAATTGCAGAAGTTAACTGCTATGTTTACTACAGTACATTGATTGTTTAGAATCCCAAAGATAGAAATGTTAACACTTATACACTACAAATAAGCTGATCTTTAAAGTAAAAAAATGCTACACAATTGTATAGTTCAGATTAAAAGAGTTTCAAAGCATGAAAGGGATATCATAATTTATTTGATATTAATATTTATTGAACTTAATAAATTTACTTTTTAATGTAATCTAAGTCCATAAGCAAAAACAAGATTCTTGTCAATAAAAAGTATTCTACCATCCTGTGCAAGCCATGGTGATAGTTTCTTTATATTTTAAATTTTATCTGACAAGATAAATCCAGACATCTGGTCAACGATTGCCAGTTGGTAATGGTAATGGTATATGCCAGGATAAGAAATCTACTATAAAAAATAAAAAAGGCCACAAATTCATTGACTTCTTGTTGCTATGGTTTGTTATTGCTTGTGAACTGTGTTAGGGATTGGATTGATATGAATGTCTCAATTAGGATTGCTATTGTAACCCTATCCAGCATTCAAATGACAAATGTATGGATTTCAATACAAACATTGAAGATTGTTTTGTGAATTATGCACTAAGCGGTAGTTGATTGGAATTTAAATATTTACTATGTTTATACATTTATTAAATATTAAAACTATGATATCAAAGTCAGAACTTAAGCACATTAACTTTGTTCTATTACTTTGTTGCTGTGTCGATCTTTAAGACCAAACTAATGTGCCACTCAATCCAAACTCACATTTAAAATTATGGAATTTCCCTGAAAACCTCTGATTGGGTACAAAATAAAGGTTTACTGTTATCATTACCATAAAATATTGAACAATCCCAGGACTTTTCGAATGCCCTGTAAAATTTAACTCAAATGTAAAATTTGTCTGTTTTCTTCCTGTATATCTACTCTTTCTTACCCTTCCATGCATTATAAAAACTGGTACTACAATAAAATACAAAATTATAAAGAAAACTTGTGCCTTGGACCCTCTGAGGTTTATATGATGACTTAAAAAACATATGTTTAACTGTGATTGGCAGTTATTAACCAATTAATATTATAGCAGTCAAACAAAAACTATAATTTTAACTAATCAGCTGCTACTCATCAAATTATAAATTAAATTCATAGTTAAAAATATGTAATCCTTCAAACTATGGTCTACCAAAGAACTTGCTGAATTTTTGCTTGAATATTTTTTTATGATTCAGTTGTTTCCCTTTTAACATTGTTTGAGCTAAATTAATTCTGTCCCTGAGGGTGTAAGAAGGGAAAATATTTTGCAGTTTAATTTGAGGGAATGTTTTATCTTCAGCAAGAGCATTTCACTGTACTTTTATTCTGACAATCTATTAGCTCTAACATGTTTTACAAGATAAGTCTTATTTTTACTTAGCCTTTTGAGTTAAGTTTACTTTTTCTGTTTTAATATTTAATTCCTACAAATGAGTTTAATTCTGCTTCTTACTTAATTGTAATTTGAAATTTAAAAATGATTTTAAACATTTATTAACCTAGTTAAAAGCCATACAAGTTGGTGTTTTTGTAACTAATGTTTAATTCAATTACCTTTCTTCCTGTTGTTTTGTAAGATCAAGATGTCAAGCAGAAGTACACACTACACTCTAACTAATACAAGGGCTTGAACTAACCATGAATTCTACAAGCAGAATTCACACTAGGGTTAATCAAACAGAAAATGTTGAACAAATGAACTGTAATGGCATACATTTCTTCGAATTTATGCAATTGTGTGTTTTGGAATTGTTAATTGTAAGGAATCCTTGGAGAATCAATGGGAAGAACTTTATAACAAAGTACACTTTTGTTTTACTTTTGAACAAAGTCAGAGTGGTGGAATTAAACAGTCTAACACTACTTAACCTAACGTTTTTTGTATAAGATATTTTACTTATTTATTCATTTGCAACTTTAAACGTTAAAGAATACTTTTCATCCTGTAATATTATAACCTGTTAATCCAGGGCAACATCGCATGATTCAGCCATAGCAAAAGCAGAAATTATATATGTATATGTTGGTATACATAGAATTTGTCTTTCATAGATCAAGTTATACCTAAATACCAAAATAATAGCTATACCTATAATTTGAAATTTCATTACAGGACTTTTATCTAATGTCCCATCTCTTTACTAATTAGCTCTCTATACAATACAGAATCACTTTTAATACCCTACTTCATGATCACAATTCTTAAAAAAACATTTCTTCTAAAACCAAGTCAACTTCTAAAAACTTTACTTTCTGTTGTAAAACAACATTTCTATTTACAGATGTGTCAGAATTATCTTAGTTATCTCAAAATTATCATTCTTGGAGACAAAACTTTATCTTATGAACCCTCATAGGGTGGTTTTGCTTTCTTCACTCAACTTCTACAACTGCAGTGACTGACCTCAGTTTTTTTTTGCAGGTTCTGGAGATGTCATCCTCCTCAAAACTTGGAACTCTCATGGACAGATGCGGAGGTGAGTTAGATAATCCATAGAGAACTATGAAACCACACTTGTTAAATGAATGTTAACTTTATGCAATCCTGTAATCCAATGTGGTGGCAAGACATAGAGAGTGTAAAAACAGAAAGCCCATTTGATATGAGAAGGATAATCTTGCTTCAGTTGTTTTTGTTTGTAAGGTCAACTTGATGATGGAGAAAATTTTTATTTTGAAAAGTTTCGGTTCAAATAGCAAAAAATAGTGTTTGAACCAACTCCGGAATTTTAGGGTTATTTTTAGAAATGTGTGGGTGTGAAAACATGGTTGTTAAAAGAGTTATGATGTTTTGATAATTAAAATAGTTTTTATATTTCCATCATATAAAACATATGATCACAAAAAAAATGATCATGTTGTTTGAAAATTGAATTACAGAAAGTAAATAAAAGAAACGTCTTATAACACTCAAAACGTATATTTACGCTTATACTGTTACTCACAAGAAGGTAAATATACAAAAAAAGTGGTGATCAATTTCTATTGGACACTCCAATCATCATCATAGGATGATGATTGGAATCCTATTCGCCGATTGGGTCTAATGATGATTGGAATCCTATTTGCCGATTGTGTCTGGTTATGATTGGAATCCTATTCCCCGATTGGGTCTAATGATGATTGGAATCCTATTCGCCTATTGGGTCTGATGATGATTGGATTGGAGTGTCCAATCAAATTCGATCACCACTTACCATCTTTTTTGTATATATACCGTCCTGTGAGTAACAGTATAAGCGTAAATATATGTTTTAATTGTTATAAGACATTTCTTTTATTTACTTTCCGTAAATTTAATAACACGTACAATGCTGATAAAGAAGTTATTTAAAATTGAATTGTAAATAAAATTATGTAAAAAACATTAAATATAAAGTTTGTTTTAGATTGTGAAAATACTAAACAGTTTATTCTTCATAAACATGTTGAAATCAAAAACTTTATGTAAAGTATAAACATAAAGTAAACTTTGAAAAGTTTAGGTTTAGAGGTTTATCTGGACATTAGTGGATAATACAAACAGGACTAAACCATTTCATGCAATAACCCCATTGACAATCTGATGTTCTTATTGAGTATAAGTATTTATTGTAAGAAATAATATATGCTGGATGTATTCATTCTTCAGAAATCAGGTTCAAGTAAATTGTATAGTTTGATAAATATTTTAGAGAAACACAAATTTTAAATTTTATGTAGCTACCTTTGACTCACCTGTTATAAAAGGCAACTCTACACTTCACAACCCGTGTCAAACTCGAGTCCCATTTAACCAAGTAAGAGTGCCACAAATTGTTTAAGCCTGACAGATACGACTCTTTATATTTTCACACACATAAAAGTACACACTGACATCTTTTACATTAAAATTGAGCTATAATGCCATTTTTGTTCAACCTTATTGCAGCGTAAACAGCTATTTACAATACATGTATAGAGGTGTAGAGTACTAACACATATGATAAGCTAATCAAGATATTTACAGTAGGACCCCTGTTAACCGAATTCGGGTTAACCGAAACCCGGGTTTACCGAAATGGTTGCATAAAATAATACAGGGCTGTAAAATGCTTTAGTAATTTCAGTTGTTAAGATTAAAGTGTTTTCTAAACCCATTGTTTTAGCTTAAATAAAACACTGGGTTTTATACCATTGACTATATAGTCAATGGTTATGTAGTCATTGTCTTACATTCATTTTTCTACACATTGTGGGAACACATTGGTTATTTTTAGCATATTATGGGTTGACCAAAAAATTGTTTATCCGAAACAGCTCTCCCCCTTTATTTCCGTTAACCGGGGTTCTACTGTAGTTTAAGTTGGAAGTGTATGAATTCAAACTAGTTGATTTTAGATTTCTTAAAAAAACCTAAAATTCTATATTGTGTGTAAAAAATTATAGTCAAGATATAAGTTTGTTATATTTAAACTAATGGCACACTAATGCCGTAGTTTTTATGACTTCACTGCAGCTTTGATAAGACATATTGTAGCAGTATCTAATACACTTACTGTACACTTTATGTTATCATAACGTTAACTATTAAACAGCAAATAGCATACATGTTCTGATTATTAATCACCTCCAGGCCCCTACCTACCTTGCATAGTAATGAAACAAGAGCAAGTAATATTGTATCAGGTATTCGTTACTCAAACTTAGATAGTTAGCTTTGATCTCCGCATAGAAATCTTTTACAATTTTGGTTCAGATTGAGAAAAAATAGTAGGATTGTCAGTTTTAAGTATAGGTAATAGGCTAATATTGTTAAATCACATTATTTTGTATGTGAATCAATATGGTTTTATCACAATCTCAATTAGATGTTATTAATACCGCCGTCGCAGCAAACCTGCAGACTAAGCGAATTTCCATTTACCTCGCTAAATTTCCACTAGGTCCTGGTCTAGGTCTTACCATGAGACCTACGGTAATAGCTTATTCCCTCTATGGGAAATTTGCTAAAAAGGTAGTTTGTACATATCACACCAGTTTTCTCTAAAAAAAAACAAAAAAGAGGGGTGTGGTCTTAGTGATTGAAGGATACAGAAAAGTAAAACAACTCTAACTTGAGAAACCTTAAACTTAAAAACTTTAACATGTTATCAACTTTGTTTTTCTTGTGTCTTAATAACTTACCAGAATTCCTTATATATTTGGTTTTAGTATTTTTTCATAAGAGCACAAATGCATATCATATAATTATGATGTATAATGTAGTAATAGCTTCCCGTATTATTGAATTCACAACACCATGGAATTAATTTTTAAAACCCAATATCATTACCTTCATTAAATCATGAGAACAAAATATCCAGGAGACATTTTTTTTTCAGTTTCCCATTCTAAGCATTAATTAAAAAAGGGTGTTTCCAAAATGTCCACATATCCAAAGCGCCTCCAAATGATGTGATTGTTGGCAGTTGATTGCTGCACAAGAGGTAACTGTCGATGAAGCTGCCATTGTCATCTCGCATGATGTGGCTGGTGATGATAGTGGGAGCATGTCTCGTGTTGCTACAATACCAGATAACCAATTCTTGGCAAGTGTCTACGCAGCCTGTCAGTGGCAACACGCAGTTGGCTGCGGCTGCGGTTGTTGACCAGCTGCAGTTGGATGAGAGTATCGTTGCTGCGGTTGGTGAAAGAGTCATCCACGACATTGCTCTACAGGTGAGATATGCAGAGTACATTTACAAATGTTCATTGAGCAATAAGTTTAATTTTTGGCAGATTTGCTGGTTTATAAAAGGATTAAATCCATGAAGGGTGTTAGAATTTGTTGTGATTGATTTACAAATGCTACACTATCAAGTTTCTGTCTTAAAATCATGGGAGAAATGTTGATAACTCTCAAGAAATATTAATGCCATCTAAGTTTTGCTTAATACACTCTTTCTTCAAGAATAGCAAGGCTCTTTTATGACATCCTCAAAGAAGATGCTGTAAATTCTATGAACTAACAACTCTGCTTTTGAACTTGTCAGTTTACTATACAGTGAAAAGTGAAAACTTAGACAGGGATTTTCTGGCTGCCAGTGATCTCGGGACCCACTAATTTTTGCAGCCAGGCCAGTAAGATCAAACATGTTTGAATTTTTTGCCGCTAGCAAATATTTACTGTTGGAAAGAAAGTACTCCTAAAGCCTAGTCCACACATGGAGACTGAGTCGGCCGACTGTGCGCGGACAGTCGGCAGACAGTCTGTCAACACAGTTTCAGATACAAAGTTTCCGATGTGTTTTGCGTCCACACTATCCAGCCAGCGTTACCATGTTTGTTGGCATGTTGACCGAGGAGGACGTAATTATATCCTGTGCGGGCTTCATTTTTCTGAGCCATGGGCCTAATTAATCTAGGAAGAGACTATGATGGACTCAACATTTTCTCGAGCAAGGTTCGTACGATGGTCGCAATCTTCTATCAGACCTTCAGATTAGGTGGAGGATTTAGGAACTTTACAAGGTTGATTCCTAAAGATTTTGAAATTTTGCTGGGCTTTGTTGGTCTTAAGATTTTAAACTTGAAGAGATAAAAAATTCAATTAAATGTCATATAATGATATAAATCATTGAAAACTAATTCCAAAAATTTCAAGAAACTCAATCCAGCTCTTTTATTACCACCCAAAAATAGTAATAATACCGCTTTGCAGTATAACTAAATGGGCTGAATGTTGAGCACCTTTGGCTTGTATCCAGTCTCCTGTCTCCAGACACGTCCACACATGCAGACTTGAGACAAAAGTTTTGTCTCTTGTCTCCGTGTTTCCCATTCGAACGGGAAACAGAAAACACTGTATTTTCTCTCCAGAAACACCAAAATTTGTCTGCCGACAGTCGGCCGACATACTGGAGACATAAAGCAACATTCTGGAGACAGTCGGCAGACGTTTCCGCAGACAAATCGCCATGTGTGGACGAGGCTTAAGACAAGGTAAGTATGCAGTAAGTGCAACTGGCAAGTACTTGCAGCCAGCAACTTGCAGTCTCTACTGTCCCCATCAAACTAATTTACATCACAGGGGAATCATCAACTCATTTTGTATGTCTACCTCAGTGTGATTTAATGAAATTATTACTTCAGGTAAGCCAGAAGCTGAGTAGTGAGATATGCGGCAACACATTGGATGAATCCTCAGCCCTGCCCAACTCCAAGAAGACCTCTACTCCCCCCTGGATGCTGCCCCCGCTCTTCATCATCACCCCGACATACAGAAGGCCTGAACAGATCCCTGAACTAACAAGGCTCGCGCAGACTCTCATGCACGTACCTAACCTCCACTGGCTGGTCATTGAAGACTCTCAAAACAAAACTCCCCAAGTGACTGGTCTGTTGATGAGAACTGGTCTTTCTTTTGAACACCTCATTGGTATGTATTATTTTGTTTAAATATAAAATATGTTTTCATACCTCATGCCGTAAATCCTAGTTTAGTCTCATGTCAGGTGACTAGTTTAGAAACAGTTGATTCATTTTCAAGCCTCCTATCGTATTACATAAAATTATTTAAATACATTAGTCGTTTTCAATAGACAAAAATATAACATTAATATACACAAACAAACAAGGATAGACTGTTATTACAAGAAATAATGTGCCGGGCCATAACAGGGACGACGGTGGACACGACTCAACTACCGGATGCCTCATTTAATATTGTTCCTTAATTGAATGAGGTATAGTCTTATTTTTATTAAGTATACTGAAAAGATTGTTTGATTATATGGGAGAGATACATTTTAAACATTTAAAAAATAATTCAGGAGACAATATATCTTGTGTAACTGTTATTTTTTTCATACTCTTGTCTATGTTGAATAGTTTTTAGTAGGTTAAATTATTCAATACAGAGGAAGGTCATCACACCTCTGAGACCTATCTTTCCAGGTAGTATGATCACATATTAGAAGTCATAGTAATTATTGGAATTTAAACTATATGGTCTTTGTCAGTCTAAATCAAAGTAACACGCTCTAACCACTGTACGAGTCATACTTCTTTCCATTTCCCTTCGAACTGTTTAAATTTTAGGTAGTAATTTGTCATTGCTAACATATATGTTTCAATGACAGTGAGAGCTGTCAAAAGAGTTTTCAGACTCGAGAAACTTTTTCGTGCTTATTTAACAGATGAGATAAATAGGTTATGGTATTTTAATAGCAATTACGTAGAAAAATAGTCAAAAAGTACATTAATACCTTGTGCGAGTCACATGCCCCTTCAGAGATAAGTCCCTCTTACTACGTTTATAGGAAAAAAGTGTTTTTACTTAGTTTGTATATATTCTATTTCAAAACTTTTATTACTTTCCAGATAGATCATGTACTTAAAAAACTTTACAAGTACAAATAAAAAAAAAAATACTTAAAAAAAATAAAAAACTGTCGAGGCAACACCGAGGAGCTAATATATTAAACACATAACCACTTAAAAAATGTAGAATCTACTTTAAAAAATATTACAACCCACTTGAAGATTCAATTTAACAGAGAACCAAATTGACAGAAGAAAATATTTATACTCAATGAAACAGAATGATAATTTATACAGTTTCATAATAAAACCAACTCAGCTTGACAAAAGTTTCCATAGCTTAACCATTGTTTTCAAGCTTATGGGTTTAAGTTCAACAATGACAGAATGAAAAATGGCACACACTTTATATCTGTCAGCTGACATGACATTCAACATGGAATATATATCTCCAGATATATCTTTGACTCTGGTAGGAAATACCACCCTCTGAGTTACTTCTCATAAATTCTAACTTTATTATTACTTTTCATGAACTCATCTATCTTCAACCTCAAGTAAATCATTGTTTAAGTCAAGCGTTCCATTTCAAATTCCAAAAAAGGATTTAGTGGCTTTTTCATACAAGTAGTTTGAATCAAAGTTTCACAATTTGGAGGGAGATACATTCTTTTGATTGGGTAGTATAAGAGATTTCATACTCAAGTTAAGTTTTTTATTTATTTTTAAAATTTGGCTTATATAGGTTGAATTGCACCTTCTAATTGAATAATAAACTGGTCAGTCTCATTAAACTATACATTTTAAAATCAATTTCATTTTTATTAATTATTTTATTCATGTAATTTTTATTCATGTAGAAATTTGTTCTGCATGTAGCTATTCCATAACCACAGTAGCCACTCTTCATTTTCTGGCTAAAGTGAAAAAAAGTTTATAAAAAAATTATAATAATGGGTACGGGAAATAGCAACTACTGCAATAACATGGCGGATGCCGTGGCACAGGGAGGTCTGGGAATTGGAAGAGTTTGCACAAATTTCAGTTTTGTGCCGTGAAAGGTTATTATCGCCACACATTACATGATGTACATATTTGTTGTTATTGACAAATGACTGTTGCTGGCCAACAAGTTCATGGTAATTCAGGTTATGTTGCTTGTCCTGCTTTATAAACATTGCTAGAAATTACACGTATGTATTTTTTATGTGTGCTGTAAATGCAATTGAAATACTAAGGGTTATTTGGGATTCAGGTGAGACGGGTCTCCAGCCAAAAAAAGACTAGAAAACTTAAGCAAACAAAGCTTCGAGTTCAAATTTCATGAATATGTAAACTACACTGTTGTTATTATATAGTTATTTGTGTAACTAGTGAGCAAAGTGGCACTTTGCTGCACACGAGAGCGGCTCGTGCGGAATGATCTCGAGTGCAGCAAAGGCCTTTTGCACTCGTGTTATACATTATATTTTTCCTACAGTCACTATAAAGCATATAAATAATTAGTCTTTCAAACACTATACAACACGTTTTTAGGTTCAGCTGGCAACACAAATAGGTGCCCTAGAGAAAGTAGTACCCGGTCCGTATCACTCCGCTATTTTTCCTCGGCAAGAAGTGCTCCGCGAATTGAGAATATAGTTCCGTATGTTTCTGTAATTTGAAGTGGTTTCCGCGCCTAAAATAAATGCTTTAAGAATGTTTTAAAAACGTTTAAAAGAAATGTCCAGAAAGTTCAGAAATACCGAAACTATAAACACGAAATGACAGGTTAAATCGTAGTTATAATAGTCAATCAGCTGCTCATAGTATTATTATCTTTAAGTGTTGCCAGCCTATTTCCAAGCGTACACGGATTACGTGCATAATAGAACCACGCTGTTTTGTGTTGTTTCGTTGGAATCCTGATGTGCGCCAAAGTATAAACCGTACAACAAAGTATAAATATGCAGCAATTAGCAGCTTTCTGTACTATAAACAGTACAAGGAAGCCAACTTTGTCTGGTGACTGTAGGAAAAAATAATTTTCTGTTTTAATATAATATTAGATTAATTTTTATCCAAACAAACATGCTTATTAGCGACTCTAAATATATTTTCACCGTGAGGCCCCAGAGTTCAAACTCCTCAGCTGAGAACAAAACGAGTAAGATTGTGTGTTACCAGGTCTCTGCCTCTAACCTCACTTCTCTCCCTCCATCTCCTTCCAAATTACGTACCTACCTAATGTAGTATAAAGATATAAAACTTGTTGTACCATATAATCTTTGAACGGTTATAAGATGATAAGCTTATGGTTAAATTTGTTGTATTGGGCTTTCTGTTAATGCTCGATGGACAACACTTTGTTGTTTTCGATGAGCTGCTTAGTTGTTAGATGATATACCAGATACTATCCTCAGCTTCCTTCACCAATGCATTTCTGCTTGCTCTTGTAGACTCTAGCCTGAAACTCCATTAGGTATCATAATATTTTTATAATCCTACTTTTAACATGTTAATAGGTAACCTTGCTGAGTGGGAGACGGACAGCGTCCCAGATCTTTGTTTGGGTTAATCTCCTGATTTGTGGCCTGAGGGTAGTGGTCACCGGAGGAGGGGTGGGGAATCGAGAATTCTGAATCCCACCGGAGGCGTTAACTTTTTGTCAAAGATTTCGCTTAGATTGCGATTACTTCTTAACTGTACATCTTTTGTTAGAATTTAAGGCGTTTATAATTTTATGATCAGAAATATTTTTCGATTAGTAAACCTTTGTACGATTTTTTCATTATCAGCAAGTTTGGTTGGTTTGGTTAGGTTATGACAGTTTAATTTTACAATAATTTAAAAATTATAAAAATGAATTTTAGGCATTTGTAGTTTTATTTTATGAACAGAACTATTTTTTTTATTAGACCTTAATTCGATTTTTAATTATCAGCAAGTTTGGTTAGTTTGGTTAGGTTATGACAGTTAAATTAAATTTAAATTCAACCGACAAACGATACGTTTTGACAGTGACAGTAATAGAGCTAACAATTTGAAGCGAACAGTTCGGCTATGCATGGTATGATGCGGAAGCGTTCGACACCAACCTAACTGACAGGTCAACCGACCTTGATTAAGAGGATTAAGCCTGGTGCATGTGCCTACACCCCTTGCTGAGTAAATCACAGCCCCTGAGAAAAGTCATTAGCTTTTTAATGGTTCGAAACTGGACCCAGCTATGCCTGATCATTGGGCTTTAAATAAATAATCCTGACTAATGAAACAGCTGATCTTAGTCAGTAACAAAGCTACACAGATCATCCCACGCCATTCTACACCTTCACTCATATTTAGGTTAAAATACCCACCTAGGTGGTGCCCCCATCTCAATGACTGGTAATTGAAAATTGATAATGATTCTGGAACCCATGTTATAGGTGCCACCTATGGTAATAGCTACTTCCATATAGGGAAATTTGCTAAAAATGAAATCTTTTATATATTTTCCAGCACCAATGCCAGATTCATATAAGAACAAAAAAGGATCCAAGCCAAGGGGAGTTTCAAATCGCAATCGAGGACTTCAGTGGCTGAGAGCAAACGCTACATCTGGAGTCTTTTACTTTGCAGATGATGACAATACTTATGATATTGCTCTCTTTCAAGAGGTATGTTTATGTTTATAGTAGTGTTCTTATTATAGAGACATATGGTTCAAGCACAACAAAACTAGGACCTATACCTTAAATATGTTCATAATTTTATCCAATATAAAATACCCCTGCCGCAGCAAACCTGCAGACTTAGCGAATTTCCATTTGCCTCATTTATAATAATAAATGATGATGATAATAATAATAATAATAATAAAAATAATAATAATACATTTATTTATTGTCAGCATAGATGTTACCTAATCAAAAAAGTATTTTTACTTGATTGATAGAAAAGTTATAAACCTACCTTCTTAGGTTTTTTTTTTTAATTCCATGAAATTTCTATTAAAAACAAGCTATGTGTTATAAAAGAGTCTTCGGTACTTCAGTATTAAACGGAGGCCACATTTTGTCAGCGCGCTGCGGCGGTTATGTTAGGTTGGGTTATCGTAAATATTATGTGTGTAGGACTTTCCTCGCTTCTCGTTATGAATCGAACGATACTTTCTATTATGATAACCCAACCTAACATAACCGCCGCAGCGCGCTGACAAAATGTGGCCTCCGTTTAATACTGAAGTACCGAGTCTTCTATTGTTTGATAGTTAGTGATTTTTTTTATGATAAAATGGATAAATCATGTGAATGATTAAATATTTAGAAAGTTTTTTTGAGGTTATATTAAGTTCATTTGTTATTTTGCTCAAACAATAAATAGTATGTATTGCCTTATTCAGGCGTATGTTGAATATAACTATAACAAAACATTCAGGTAGTCTAGGTATATACTCTCAACTCGCAATGGGTGTCTCTGGTTTTTAAACATGATTGGTGACACAGAGTTTTTATGAGCATCGGAACAATGTAATTTTTTACATACATTAATACAAAAACGGCATAAAAACCATGTATAATCAATAAAGGGTACATTAAATCAATAAAAACCTTACTTTACATATTTGTAAAAATATTAAACAAACAAAAACAAAAATGCCATAAGTGGCACTTGAAACTACACTCGGGGAACCTAGTAGCATGAGCGGTGACACACGGAAGCGGTGCTACGTTACTCTTCAGGCTTCAACGGATTAATAAGGGTAGCACGGGGGAGGGGCAATAGCAAAATGATGTTCAATCGGTTCCTAGAAAGAGGCCCATGAGGTACGGTTACCGGTACTCTTGAAACTGCCGGCGGGCGATAACAAATGTTTTTCTATAAAAATAAATGCATCAGGAGGAAAACTCCGTTGTGACATGATACGTGTTACACTTCATTGTTGAAGGGTTAAACATAATTCAAATCACACAAACTCCAACCTGGAAACCAGGGTCTGAAATATTGATGAATTAAATTGAGTAAAGGACGCATAGCACAGGGTTAGGGTAGACACTTACAAACTATTTGTTGACCCAGTTTTAAGAACAATATTAATAAATATTTACCTTAATTGTTGCCAAAGTTCTCGCATGTGTTTGTATGCCCATGCAAATTTCGTATCATGGTAATCATCAGGTTTTTCTTACACTGAACACTAAACTAATTATAGAAAATATGTACATTAGATGGTTTGTTCACAAAGCACTCTTGCTTAGTTTATTGTTCATTATTGTCATGATTCCCTTTCAATTGCCATAACTCAAACCACTCCTCCAGTATCGGGGGTTCCGGGAACGTACTACAATGGTGTTTCAGCAGCGACTCCCTTGTGACGACTAGTTTCAGGGAGATCTTGTGAGGGCGAGTTTTAGCGGGCGAGTTGACTACGGATATCCAGGAAGCTAGCGTCTGTCCATGGGACGGGGTGGAATAGGGATTGCCATATTGTGCCAGTTTGTACTTGCTATTTTGAGGATGGTTTGAAATAATACTGAATAAAGATGTTCTTCTGTTGTATTCAAGAATAGGTTGAAAATAAACCAAAATAGCTAGAGAGCTATATACATACAGCATCCGATTCTCCGATTTTCTATAGTTTAGTTTAATGTTCATATTAAATAGTGTAAGAAAACAGACTAATATGAATGAATTGTGAGTTGTCTGTTTAAAGCCATCTTTTTCTTTGTCAGTGGAACTGTACTGGACTTTCCAGTGTTTGAGCATATTTCTGTTGGATAGTACCAGTCCCCATATGAGTAGCAAGGACAACCTATGTGAAGTTTATTCAAGACGTTGGGCAAAAATCCACCAGTCCAGCTGTTCAACTGACCAATTAATTCAATTTTTCATTTATGATCAAACAAACAGTTTTTCAACACAATAAACTAATGCATTTGGTTCAGTCCTTACAAATAACATATTTTTAGCACGATAGTTACTTATCTGTATTGTTTTTGTTTAAAGATGAGGTACACAAAGAGAGTGTCTATGTGGCCAGTTGGGCTGTGTACCAAATACGGCCTTAGTTCTCCCATCGTCCGCAATGGAACATTTGCAGGCTTCTACGATGGATGGATTGCTGGCAGAAAGTTTCCCGTTGACATGGCCGGATTTGCTGTCAGCGTTGACTTTCTCCTTCAGGTATCAAGATTGTTGTTATGTTTGAACTTTTTAGGCTATGGATAAGCGTGTACTGTGATAAAGTGCATTGGTTCCACTTTATGCCAAAAGCTTTTAAAACTTAAAAGTTTTGTTCAGTTCAATTTACTCTAACTTAATGTTTAATGAAATAGTTAGACATAAACCCATTTTTGTAAATACGGTCCTCTGTTCAAAGCACTCAGTTCCTGTGGTATTGGTTTTCAATGCTAAAAAAAAGCACATCAAGTAAAAACATTTTAAAAACCTCCTCGTTAGATTTTTCATTCAGCAGATATACAAATTAATTGACTGCTGAAGCTGAAATATTTGGGAGATATTTACTCTTGCATTAATGCTCATTCATATTTTTCCCCTCTATAGTATTCACTATTGGATTTCTAAACTTGATTAATGTTTGGAGGATATAATAAATACTATTCTTCCAAACAGATACCATCCATCAATTTATTACGGATAGCTTATTTTATACAAAATTATGCTTATTTTAGCCACATAAGTTATACTAAAGCAGCACACTGATTAACAATAAGCAACACACAGGAAATCATCAAATGTTAACAATGTATTGTTTCAAACAGCTGATAAGTGTAAATAAGAATAAAGGTTGATTCACATTTATCAGTCCAGTCACAGTTCCTTTACAGTCCAGTTACAGTTCAGTCACAGATGCATCCACAATTTCTCAGTCAACTTGGCAGTCATTTGGTATCAGTCACTCTTCCGTCACTTTATTTACAGTGTTGTTGTTACAGTCAAAAAAGTTTAATTAAAACACAAATATTCTATCAAATTTTCTTCGTCCGTATTGTTGATTGTTACAAACATTACTTTAAAATATAAAATCGATAATTTAAATAAAAAAAGTACTAATTTCTAACCTCTAACACGTCTGTCAGGCATCCGAATGATCCAAAAATATCGGTGAAAAGAAATCTGAAATTGACTGACGGACGCCGGCAGAGAGACTGACGGAACTGCAATGGATGAGTGTAGATAACGCAATAGAAAATTCATTAAAGAATATTTTTGTTAACTGCAACATGCATGAAGTGACTGGAATGTGACGTTCCGTAACTGAAGTGTGTGAATCGACCTTAAAACAAGTGAAAACGTAGCTCACTAGCAGTGGTTTTAAATAGTAAGTTGGAATTGACACACAATATCACATTTTCTTAAAAATGAGTTTCATCCCTTATTTATAAACCGACTTTCTTAATTTTGGTATCATAAGTTTAGGAATTTAATTCTCTTGAAAAAAATAGTAGTTGAAATTTTCATTTCATATGCAGTTTTTGAGATATTTACGTTTTAAATTTTTAAGCCACAGCCATTTTGAAAATAAACACTCTAAAATTTTGTTTCATAACCTAATTATTTCTTTAAGTAATAAGGCCATATACCAAATTTCATTTTTTTAGAACAAACCGTTCTTGAGTTAAAAATGTTTTTGTAAAAAAAATGGCGGCTTTACGAGTAACTTTTGAGTGTTTGAAATTTTGAATATGATATTTTAATTTGTTTATGGTCCAGGAATAATACCTGAAAAATTTGGTAGTGTGTTCTGGGACACCCTGTATATTAGTACACTTGTTGCTCTAATTAATCTAATCTATTAATAGATTTGCCATGTTTTATCTATGGTTTTCTACTATTTACAGAGACCTAAAGCCACAATGCCTTATAAACCTGGGTTTGAAGAAGATGGATTTCTTAGAAGTCTTGCACCTTTTGAAGCTAAAGATATTGAGCTCAAAGCAGACAACTGCACAAAGGTAAATTAACACTAACAACCCCATGCTTGGCAGATTAGATTAGAATTCATAATACTGATACATCAGGGTGTGTATTTTAAGGCAAAGATACACTACCTTAAAATACAGCCCCCGGCCAGATCCCCAATGACCAGCCCTGTGTGGATAAGTATTGAATAAATTAAATGCAGCGCTGGCCTTATAGGCATGTGCGAAAGGCTTGGCTGCACAGGGCCCTCCACCTCGGGAGGCCCAGCATTTTGGCAAAGACACACATATACATACAGGGTGGCTGGTCATCAGTGTTACAAAATTTTTTTGGCGTAAGTACTAAGTAAATGCAGTGTAATGATGCATATAAAAGGTTTCAAGTCCAAAAATTAGCTTCCCAAAGAATTATTTTATGTTTTTCAAAAATAACTATGTTTTCATACTTAATACAGCTATTTCTCAATTACCTGTAAATGGATTTGAGTAGACAATGTCATTTTCGTGTTCTACATTAAATTTTGAATAAGAATAATAGAAAATGACAGAGGATCAGTTGTAAAAACTCCATTGTAAATAGATTCAAAGATAAAAATTTAGATGTTTGAAAAAAATTTAAAAAACATTGGTCTATTGTATTTGTTCACACCCTGTATACAAGAAAGTGTCCGAATATGTTAAAAACTGGGTCATTTTATAAGCTTTCCAACCATATGCTACACTATTGAGGTTTAGATATTCTGTTGTTTGTTTTAGTGGTTTGAATACCAGAAAACAGGGAACTTTTTTACTGTTTTTACTGTTTAAGCTGAAACAAAAATACAACTTTTGCTTAATACATACCAGCTTTCGTTTTAAATGTTAAAGACACACCCTGTTTTCTGGTATTCAAACCACTAAAACAAACAACAGAATATCTAAACCTCAATAGTGTAGCATATGGTTGGAAAGCTTATAAAATGGCGCAGTTTTTAACATATTCGGACACTTTCTTGTATACAGGGTGTGAACAAATACAATAGACTAATGTTTTTAAATTTTTTCCAAACATCTTAATTTTTATCTTTGAATCTATTTACAATGGAGTTTTTACAACTGATACTCCGTCATTTTATATTATTCTTATTCAAAATTTAATGTAGAACACGAAAATGACATTGTCTACTCAAATCCATTTACAGGTAATTGAGAAATAGCTGTATTAAGTTTGAAAACATAGTTATTTTTGAAAAACATAAAATAATTCTTTGGGAAGTTAACTTTTGGACTTGGGACCTTTTATATGCATCATTACACTGCATTTACTTTGTACTTACGCCAAAAAAATTTTGTGACACTGATGACCAGCCACCCTGTATATTAAAAGTCTTGATCCTATTTTTGCGTTGTCTTGTCAAGTAAATAATCGTGATCGCTGAACATGATCAAGATGTTGACCTCCTCATGGGAGTGCAATTTTAAAAATCATCACGATTGTTGTCGCGACCATGAGAGATGATGGACTTTTTTTCATCTATGAGCATGAGCTATGCAAATTAATATGGCAATTGGGGGAAGAGTTTTTAGTAGTCAGGGGCCCCGCTCTGAATGTTTGCACAGGGCCCTGCACTACCTAAAGACAACTCTGAACAGATAGCTTTGTTACCGACTAATCTCAGTTGTATTGTCTCTTTAGTCAGTATAGTTTACTAAAAGCCCATAGACTAAGTACAGCTGAGTTAAGTTTTAAACCAGTAAACAAATTTTGTCTTTTCTTCCCCCACTACTATTCCAGCCATTAGGTACGTTATGTGACGCTAAATATCATCATAATAGTCAATGAAGACAGGGAAATACTTCAAGGCCAGTTTCCTTCTAGACAGTCACACAAATTGAAGAAATGTGTCTTGTGTTTTGGTGCGTTTAAGAATACTAGGGGTTATCTATAGTAGTCCAAGAGACTTAGGTACCCTATCAGTTTAGCATCTTTCTCATAGTCATAAGCTATGATTTCCTTAATTTCTGCCAATGTATCATCCAAAACTGATGACCGCCTGCAGCTTACCTTCTGAACCATTTATGAACATTTCTTTACATTTGTTTTCATTAGACATGTCGATCGGCATAGGATTTCCATTAGGGTTGACATCTTGAACAATAAAACTTATACAGAATAATGTAACTCATTTTCTGGTGGGGGCGTTGATTTTCCTGCCATTGTGTAAATGGCTGCTACGTTAATACTGAGAGTTGCATAGAGATGAAGACTGGCTAGAATAGTAGTGGGGGATGTAAAGAGTAAAACACAGGTGTTAGATTTCAAGATCAAGGTACTTTTTCACGCTGGGAGCTCATTGAATTCTACTCAGCATCAACTTAGGACAACCCTCGAGATCACTGTTGATTAGATTGTTGAGGTCCTCTCTTCTCCTTATCCTACTGATGAATTAAATCCTCGCATCCTTCTCTCACACAGATGCAATAGCCACGGGTACGGTAGCAAAAGCCCTTTTGAGGCCTGCACAGAGAGGCAAGAAAGGCCTAGTAGGAGTAACCCTCATCTGGATCCCCTCATTACTTTATTGAAATTAAATTATTACATAAAGGATATAATACACCATACAATAAGTAAAAGAATATAGCAGGAGGTGATTTGGTAGAAAATGTTAGATAGGCATAGTAGGAGTTCAGGTAGGTTAGTTTTAACGGTGGCGTCCCCTGTTGTGGTTGTTACCTAGCCATTGATGTGAAGGTTGTAGCAGTTCAGGGCAAGGATGTTGTGCGGCGGAACTTGGTAACCAGGGCAATCAGGACCATCAGTCCTTGCCGTTGTTGTGCTGTCAAAGGTGGGATGCATATGGGCTGGTTGACAATTGCGTAAGTGATTGACTTGGGTTATGAGTTGATTCAGAGATGGTGATCAGGGTAACAGTTGTTAGCGGTCAGAGAAAGGATTCCGGAGCGGTTTGGAACTTGTGCTAGTTGTTAATGGCAAGGTGGAAACAATTTACATAGCCAGGTGTCTAGGTAATTATGAGTTTCTTCTAGGTGTAGGGGTAGGTGAATATATCAACTGGGGTGCATGTTTGAATGAAGGAGAGACTGTGATCTCTGGAAGCGGCTGGTGGGGGTACCCAGTGTTTCCAGCCGGTAGTGAGATACTGGGCTTCCGAAGCATAGAGTAATGTTAGCTGGCGGATCAATGATCACTATTGGGGATCTCATAAATTATAGTAAATAACAGAACACGCCCTACAGGGTAGAATTCTATACCAGTGGCTATACCACTGACTTTAGTTCAGTCATTTTGGCTTATTGTTTTGGTGGGATAGGAGGTACACAAAAATAGAGAGCTCTTGTCTCAGATAAGCAGGAGCTCCTTAACTTTGGAATTTTTGTTAGTTTCTCTTTCAATATAATAAGATATTTAATATATATTATACAATAAATAATTTAATATATAACAAATATTTATATAAACATTAAAGCCCTTTTCATCAGGCCAGTGTGTTTACAATTGATCTTACCAGCCACAAGGAATACGCTACGTTGTCAGCCTAGCCTAAGAAAAAGACATATGACTACCATTTCACCTCAGCCTTCAATGGTGCAATCCTTTAAATCTAACATTGGCCCATTATTGTGGGTGTTAGACCGGTGCCTGGAACATAGTGAGCTGCAACAGAGTAGAAGAAAGAATTGTTGACGAGTTATATTATTGGCATCTTTTGAATTAAAACCCTCTTGTGGATCTAAATATTTACTTTTACAGCTAATAAAATGTTTTCAGATTCTAGTCTGGCATACCCAAACAAAGAAGAATGAACCAGCTGCACAGCTAGATTTGAAGAAGTACAACAATACGAATCTCATTCATTTGAGGTCTTTGATTGTTTGATTCATAAGACAGGTAATTTTCTCTACATAAATTCATTATATTTAAACAAAATCAGAAGTTTTATTAGTATAATGAGTGCTTAGTTTAGTTATGTAGTATTTAGTTGTTTTTTGTGTAAAAATAAGGCAAAATTAAGGGTTCCCCGACTAACTTTGCCTTGTTTTTACACAAAAACCGTTATATTTCAGTTATGTTTTGTTCGATCTTTTTGGTTCGATGTTGGTATCGTTTGATAGGGAGTTAAAAATGCTAAAAAAAAGTATTCTTTACATTTTTTCATAGAATTAGCCGTTTTTGAGTTATTTAAGTTATAAAAATTCAAACGGCCGCCATTTTGAAATTTACAATCGGAACAACTTTATTATTTTTTTCTATAATAGTTCTTGTTAACATGGTTGCCAAATTTCATAATCATCGAATCAAAAACTTCACAGATAAAAATATTTTTGTATAAAAAACAAAATGGCGGATAACTGAGTAAATATGCATTTCCAGACATACCTTCACAGAAACTTTTTTCTTCCTCTTAGTATGAGGATTCATTTCCCAAAGTCCTGAAACGTTTTTTGTGGACACCCTGTATATCGATATTTGCATAGTTGGAAATCTAAGAAATACATCTACCTGTTGGTAAATGGTGTCAGTAATATCGTACCAAGTTTGGCAGTAGTATGCAGAACCGTCTAAATAAATAAAAACTAATGAGATTCTTTATTTTCAGTATTTGGCCTTAAGGACAATCCTCAGCCTGTCAGCTTCTTCATGATTTTATCAAATGTTTTTATTATTGTTAAGTGTTTATTCTAAAAGACAATTGAAGTTTTATGTAAAACTTGTCCATTCAAGCTTTTGTAGATAGTGCTTTTATATTTGAATGTTATCAGTTTGTAATTGTAAGCATTTATTGAAGACAAATAGTCTTTTTATTATCAAATATTTGTGATAATTAGCTTAAAATTGATGCCAAAATGTTTATTTAACTACTATTTTATCTTGTAAGGTAGTGCTATGTCCTAATTTTGTAAAGATAGTCCAAAGCACCCTTGTATAATATAGTGACCAAGCATGTGATATATTTTTAGAGAAAAGTAAATTTTAGTCATGACCGCAAAATTTTTGTAATTAAAGTTACACTTCCTTATTGCTTAGTATGTGGATGTCCTCAAGAAATGTGGTCTAAATGTTTGGGCAGAATGTGGTTTATTGAATTTTGTTCAAATATATCCTATCTTAGTCTTATTGAGCTTAGGTATGTTAATGTTAATACGAGGGTCAACTTTTCATTAAGGGCCGTTTGTGTGTATAGTTGAATAGCATTGTAGTTAATGTCTACGCCGCAACAAGGCAACGACCATAACTATTTAGTGGCACTATTTGTGAATAGAATCCTGCCATTACAGCTCTGTAGTTGACAACGTGCGTGCTTCGCTTTGTGTTTAAAACATTTTTTTATGATTGAATCTCTGATGCAAAATAAGGTTGGTGATAAATTTCTTGACCACAAGAAATAAATTAGATTCAGACATTCATTGCCAAATGTCTCTAGGAGGATATGGACCTTATGCAATTAGTGTGAGTAAATTGGGGAAATTGGTTAGGGAGTGAAAAAATGGCTGTGAAACCGTTTTCCTTTGTGGTTTTTTGTGACAAATCTGGGTACCCACCAAAAACACAATTCCTTCTAAACTGGACATTTTATTGGCCATTTTTAAGCTTCCTAACCCATTCATGCACTTAACCCTGTATCATTGCATTAGGGCTATAAACTTCAGTCTTCTGGCAATGAAAGTCTGATATGTTTTTTGCAGTCAAAGAATATATCACTGACATTATCTTTCATGGTGGGAGATTCAATGTTTTTTTTTTATTTTCTAAACACACAGCCAAAAAAGTGCAATCATTTAATCATTCATTCATTTTTCATTCATTCATTCATAAAAAAAGTACATGTACATGTCAGCTACAGAGCAGTAAAATGGTGCCATCTCATCACAAATGATGCCAGTAAGCAGAGAGGAGCTCTGTTCCAATGTACACGCAAAAGAAGCCCTTAGCAAAACTACCCTCGTTTGTAGGTGAATAAATATTTCATTTGTATTCACAAAAACCATTTTGTAACTGGTAAGTATTTACAACACGGTAATGTTTTACCAAAACAAAAAGAAAACATGAAAGATTAACAATTGTAAAATAATCAAACATATTATATACGAAACGGTTGAATACCAACTGCAATACAGTACCAATAAAAATGGGTAATGTGGGAGGACATGGTAGAATGAACTACCCAACTACCAAAGATCTGGTGCTTTTTTTTATCACCACAGTTTCTCAAATAACTATTATTTACAAACTATAACTGCCCTATATTAATCAAATATTGTCTTGCCAGCTGTCAGTTATTGCTAATGCTACTTCAGTATTCAATCCACTGTACTTAAGTCTAGATCATTAGATTGTGTGTGCATTGTTTAAGATTTGTACATACAAAACAGCAATCAAAAGAATTTGGTTGATTATAAATTCTGTACATAAACTAAAATAAATTTCTTTAGAGAACCATAAGTGAGAAGTGTACTATGTACATGATGTGTCGATGAATTTAATTTTGTAAAGTATACTTTTGTATTGTCATAAATATTGTAAGCTTTTATAAATATAAAATAATAGGCTAAATGTATAATGAATCCTACATGTATTTAAAAAAATCTCCCTTTTAAGTAATTCCTGGTTTCATGTTATGTATATTTCAAAATTATCTTGACAGAGTATCCCAAAAGCAAAGGACAATACTATGTGTTTTGTCCTAAAACATGAGTAATTTACTATAATCAAAAAGTATAACACTGCATGATTTCATTCTTGGGGGATATACATCAGAGGCAAACCCTAAAATTAATGTTTAGCTAAGTAAAATAAGAAAAAAATGTAAGGTGTTTTGCACCCGGTGGGTTTTTCAATTCTGTTACGGTGATGAAGTTTTGTTAGATTTAGGATATCTGTTTTTTTACTCTTATTAAGCTAACTAAACACATACAGTTTGCTCCTTTTTCCAAAATCTTGTCACACAATTTAAAGTAGGATCAAAACTTGCTAGTCTGTGCTAAGAACAAATTTTTTGTAATGTTTTTAAGTTGTACATATTTCTTTATTATACGTTTTTAGGTATGAAATAAGTTAAGTCTAAGTGAACTTTAAATAATTTTAAGTTCAATTCTTTTCATTTAAGTTTAGCTTATTTTGTTTTAAGAATGACAAAACTTTTTTTAAGAAGTGTCAGCCCCTTTTCACCTTGCTTTACCCGTCCACATGGGATTTAGAGGCCTGCGAGAAGAATTTATCGACTTAAGCAAGGGTTGAGCCAAAATATTACAAAAATAAACTATACTGATGATAAATTTTAAGGGGAAATGGAAAGTGAACCCAAGACATTGGTGCCTTGGATTCACAATTCATAATGCAATGACTTCTCTAAATTGTAACCAATTATTCATATAGGTAACCCTTTTCCTTCACTAGAGAAAGTAATTCTGAACACAACATAATTTTTTAATTTTTTTTAACATAACAGGTTAACAATTTGATCCATAATTTAGAAGTAAATTTTTTTTTAAATAATAATAGTTGCAATTTTTCAGTATAAAAGCTATAGGTAATTGTTTTATGATGTTATTTGATTTTATTGATGACTGTAAAACTCATACAGTACTTTGTACTTTGTACTCTGTGAAATACTCATAGTAAAACTGATCAATTTTTGAATCTCTTGCACATAAACATAATGACCTCATCATACTTACTACTAAAACGTTCAAAATCTGACTATGGACAGAAGGTATACTGTATTTGTTGTTGTTTTTTCAACTGGTAACTTATCTTTTAGATTGGTAACATGGATTAAACTGATTCGGGGAACAGAGGTATTAGCAATGCAATTAATAAAGCAACTTAGAACTGTAAACTAGAATATAGGCTTCCACAATCAAAGTAGACTCAGTTGAATCTAGGTTTTTGGGCAATGATCTGTTGTTTTGTTGAGCTGTTGAAATACTGGACGACGTTTCTAATGCCTTGTAGCAATCTAATGTCTTCAGGGGCAATCTACGATTCAACTCCCCATTGAATACCTGGGTTCAGTTGAATCATGGTGGCCTCAGGATTCAACTTGGGGGGGGGGGATACCCCGATCCTTCCAGGTAAAATGTAAAGCATAAAAACGTTTAGGCCTGAAATGAGCTGCACCGATGGTCGAAGAAATTTACATGGGTCCTCTGAGGAAATATTCATTGTTATGACATTATCATAAATATATAATTTGTGTGTGAAAATCCTCTCGATAGACAACAAAGTTTGAGAGTCTTAAAATATCCCGTCAAACGTTGGACGACTTGAGTTATCAAATTAAACAATACTGTCAAATCAAAAGAACTATTGATTAGATAGTAATAATGCAATGGTTATAATATTTTATAACTATTAAATTATCACTAAATAAGCCTATACCAAATTGCTAAATTTATAACATAGCCTATTAATGCTATTTACTGAAAAAGAAAAGGGGTTTAAACAAATGGAACTGACCATTGGTGCAACTGAGAACCCCACAAAAGTTGGTGCAATCGTACACTGTAGGGTGGAACTAATCCCTGACCAGGGGAGCCAGCTGGTCTAGTGGTTAGAGCGCGGGACTCCGATCCCGCCAAATCATCAATGGATTTTAACTAAGTAATATTGCCGTAACCTCTAGGTCTAGCCTGAAGTAATGTGAAAATCCGGGCTTGTGCCTAGCGTCCTAGGAAAAAAACAAAAAAAAATCCCTGACCATCATAGTGCAATCGGGCACCTCCCCTGAAATGGGGTCCACCCTGATATTTGGCGGTTGGGTGATCATCCACCACAACCCCCCCACCCCTGGTCTGCTTCTGAAGGCCAAGATTCTGCAACTTACAACTGTAAGTTTACTATTAGTCTTGATACCAAAACAGTTACCCCCCTCTTATTCTCTACATCCAAGTTCAGAATTTTCTAAATGGTCATCGTTTTAGAATTTGTATTATTTTAAGTACCAACTTTGGAACAAATTGTGCCTGAGGAATTGTAATATTTTGATAAATGCAAGTAAGTTTACTGTTGATAAAAAGCAAAGGTAGAATTAGAATAAGGCATCTCTCACAATTCCTATATAATTGTACAACTATGTATTGCCTTTACTCAACATAGGGGTAAATTCTACTTTAGATTGATTTGATTAGTCATATTTGTAAGTAACTCAATTTTGCACTTCTATTGTAAGCACATATTGTTTTTTTTTTATTGAAAATAAACAAATTTAGTAAGAAAAGTGTATTGTGTTTCATATATCATCGAATGGGAAGTGAGCTGATCTAGTAGTAGAGCTTGGACCTTTGGAGCCTGAGGTCCCCGTCAATAATCAATTAATTTTTATGCCACGACCCTCTCTGAAATAATGTGTAAAACAGTTCTCGCTAGATCCTAGGATGTGGAGGTGGGAGATAAACAAAATGTCATTGAATGGCTTAGTTTTAAGCAATTTTCAATAAATTCATTAATTTCCTTTAAAAGTTGTAGGATTATTGGCTGATATGACATTTATCAAAGGATATATCCAGTATCCACAGCAATATCTTTGACTCTGGTGGGAAACACATCAGACTTGAAATATCCCTCATAAGTTGTAACTTTATGATTACTCTTCATATGAGGTCAACCTCAAGTAAGCTGTTGCTATAGTCAAGCTCATATTTTAATAGAACAATAAATAATTTTACGCCACACTACATACACTATTTTGACGAACTTCCCATGCAAGGATTTAGTCCAGAAAACAGCTGTTTGCCACCAGCTTAATCAAATGGGGTTTCATTGCGTACTACTGTACTGTAATGAGTTTTACCGGACACCAATCAGCTGATTATACTGTATTTGGGTGGCAATGAGTGGTTATAACAAAAACATAACCTCTCTTAGAGGTTATGACTAGTGATTTTTAGTCATTTAGGTGGTGGTAATATATAAATATTTGAACGGATTTAGTAGTAGGTATAGCGTACTATCGTACGTAACTCGTCCGAAATGTGTTTACCGGACTCGTATGGTAATTCCATACTCGACTTCGTCTCGCACAGTAACGACCACACTCGTCCGGTAAACACTTATTTTCAGGACTAGTAACGTAATATACTATATTGCCATACTATGATGTTTAAATAGACTTTCTACGCAAGGATTTAGACCGGAAAACAGCTGTTTGCCATCTGCTTAATCAAATGGGATTTCATTATGTACGTTAATAAACTTTTACGGGACACCAGCTGATTATGAATTGGCAATGAGTGGTTATCAACTAAAAACATAAGATCTCTTAGAAGTTATGAGTCGTGCAGTTTTAGCGATTTTCCCATATAGGGTATAATAAGCTATTACCGTAGGTCTCGTGGTAGGACCTAGACCTGGGACCCATTTACTTTTTCGTTTTTATGTCCCCAGAGGCCAAAAAAAACATCTATTCAAATGTATATACAATATTGCGAGTCCCACGACTCTCTTAAATTAAAGTTATACTATGGCTTGGCTGTTCTAGAGAGGTAAAGGGGTGTAAGAGACATAATAATGCTACAGGTGTTACAAAACGAGTGATACAACAAATACAAATTTGGAAAAATAAGAGAAGTTACAAAGGGTGGCAACACTAAATAAAAACTTTGAAAAAATTAAAAAAGAGCAAAAATAACTAAGAAAAATTATTACAAGGTTCAACACAAGAAAAAGTTGAAAATGAAAGGTTGAGATAATTACAAGTTATGTGACTTGATTTGTTTACATCTTTATAAATTTAGATATGATTTTACAAACTGACAAAGGTTCCTTGAAGCACACGCACCCACAGACACACGCACTCCGAACTTCCTTGCAGCCCGCGGTAATCTCCTCTTGATTTTCTTCCCAGGTCCTCCAACTCCAAGACTTGTAACCCCTCCATCTTCTTCATTAGACCTTCTCATTGGCTGATTACCGATAGGCTATAACATTTCTCTAAGTCAGTCCTACACCGGTCATCGCCTAGCTCACGTCAGCTGGGAAAAGAATTTGAGAATTGACGCTCATGCTACTGTTCAACTCTCACAAAAAGGCTCTGGTCCAAAGAATGGCATGCTAGCACCTTTTTTTGCCAGCTTATCTGCACTCTCGTTGTCGCCAATAACTACATGGCCTGGGACCCAGCCGAGAGTTACAGAGTTCCGTGTGGAAAGTTTGCAGAGGGTGTTGAAACACTCCCAGACCAGTTTTGAGGTGACTTCATTTGAGTCAAGAGCTTCAAGAGCAGCCTGACAATCAGACAAAATCACTATTCTCTTGTCTTGGTAGCATCTGGCTAGTCCTAGGTTGGTACAAGCCAAGATACCATAGATTTCTGCCTGAAAGATGGTACAGTATCGTCCCAGACTACCTGACAGTTCTGTTCTGGGTGATTAACTGTATACTCCAAAGCCAAATTTTCCATTGATTAGGGAGCCGTCTGTGTACCAGACGAAGCTCTCCATATCTTGGAAATGCCCTTCCTGATGTTTCCACTCATCTCTGGAGCAGAATTCAACATTAAAGGGTTTGGTGAAAACTGTTTCCTTGCTTAGGAAGTCCAAGGTCATGTCAAGCTCAGGACTTGCAGCCAAAGTCTTAGCAATGGCGCAGTGGCCTGGCCCTGACAGGCCTCCCTCCACAGATTGCAACCCTCAGACGGTAAGCTGCCTTGAGGGCTTCAGATCAGATAAAGATGTCAGAGGTAGCAGCCCAAGAGCGACTTCTAGAGTAGCTGATGGACTGCTCCTGAAGGCTCCAGTGGCCAGTAGCGTCCAAGCCTTTGCAGACTTTCTAGTTTGGCATTCAATTTTGTTGCAAAAACTACATTGGTATGGCATGTCAAATGATTTATTGCATTTTTTCAAATCTTACATTGTGAAAAGGAAACTTGTTGACAATTTGTTTTCTATCATAGATTTTCCTCTGCTGTATTTAATGTCCAATCTGGGGTCCCTCAGGGTTCAAATCTAGGGCCTTGTCTTTTTACAATACTAATTAATAATCTAAGGGACTGTATTTTAAATTCAAATTCACTTCTATTTGCCGATGATTTAAAAATGTTTAAGCATATCAACCGTCTTGAGGATGCAAATATCTTACAGGAAGATCTTGATAATGTTTACAGATAGAGTGTTTCAAACAAAATTACTTTTAATGTTTCCAAATGCCAACTAATGACTTTTACTAGGACTCAACATTTTTTACAAAATAACTATTTCTTAAAAGGCATTTTAATTAGTAGAGTAAACAAAATTAAAGATTTAGGTGTTCACATGAATTCTGCAATATCTTTTAAATTTCATGTTGAAACATGCATTGCTGCTGCAAGTAAAATGATAGGATATAGTTAGACAAAGTACACATTTTAGAACCATTGAAACTTTAATTATGCTTTATCATTCGTTGGTCAGATCAAGATTAGAAACCTGTTCCATAATTTGGAATCCATATTATTTACAGTTCAAAGATGGTTTGGAGAAAGTCCAGAAAAAGTTTTTAAGATTTTTATTTTACAAATGTTTCAATATTTATACATACGAAATTCCATATCATGATTTGTTACAACTGTTTGGGCTGCAGAGTCTAGACCTGAGGAGAAAGATCGGTCAGGTGTTCCTGTACAAACTGGCGTGGAGAGGTTGACGACGCTGCTAGCCTGGCCAGCCTGTCTTATCGCGTACCCTGCTTCATCATTAATATATTTCTTATTTACTGTTGTATTTATTTTACTATTCAGTATTTATGTATTTATATAATTTATCATTGTTAGTCTATTTTTTTATATTTATATACTGTACTGTTGTTATAGTTATTGAAAATTTTATTTTTTATGTTATTATTGCATGGCATGAAAGTTAAATTAAAGTGAATGGACAATAAGAAACCCACTGAAGAAATTATTATAAGTGCATGAATTGCTTCAATGTAAATGGTGTAAACTGTATTGAAGCATGTAAATAAAATAAAATAAAATGACTATACAGGGTGTATATAAAGTCCCGCACGGGCTTAATATTTTCTAAACGAAAACAGACAAATCAATAAGATTTGGTACATCAACACCAAACCTAAAAATCTACTTTTTCAAGGAACTATGAATTTTCTGTCATATCATGGGGACGTCCCGCAAGGAGTCAGAAGGAAATCTTAACACGTTCACTGCGGGCGTATCCGATCGGATACGGGCCGAGCACTGTTCAGACGCTGCCGTAACCGATCGGATACGCTCGGCAATGCCTTTCGTATATCATCGTTTTTGCTCTAGTGTCGGTCGAAGGCAGACCAATTCCACGTTATCGTGTAGTGGGTGACTTGCGTTTTGTTGTGGTGTAGGTTGGTAGTAAAATTTCCCCATAAAATCCCCGTCTGGCAAACTTAAAAATCAACTTGTTGTCCCGTCTTTCTCCCTCCAATTGGCAATACGATGGGACCGGCTACGTTCCAAGCAGTGCTGCTATATGTGAGTGTTTAGTGAACTACGTCGACTCTTGTTATAAAACAGGACATCACAGCACGTTATTTGCTATTCGTCATACCGAAATATGAGAGCCAAACACCCGGCAATCGGGTTTGTTCGACGCTGCGGGCTGCGCCGCGCTGAGGCTACGCCTGCCATTTGATGGCCCGCAGCGAACGTGTTAAATAGGAGCATAGGTCAATATGCACATCAGTTTAAAGGGCTTAGCTAGCAGAGTTCAATGCCGGAAACCGCGCCTCAAAAGGATCACCCGTTACAAAATGGTGGCCATTTAAAAAGGGTGTACGGGCTTACTTTCCAAACTTGTCCCACAAGGAGTCAGAAGGAAATCTTAAATAGCAGCATAGGTCAATATGCACATCATTTTAAAGGGCTTAGCTAGCAGAGTTTAATGCCGCAAACCGCATTCAAAAAGGTTGATTCAGTACAAAATGGCGGCCTTACAAAGGTTTACTTTGTTACATTTTATTAGTACAGTAGCCACAATCCCATTAAAGCAAAACCGCAACTCTGTAGCTAAATACTACATTATGCGTGTCAATAGAGAAGTGAATTATGACGTTAGTTATAAAAACAAAACAAAAAAGCTTAAAAATGATAATAAAAAACAACAAACCCTAGGACAACGCCTTGACCTGCAAACGACTTGGTTATATGATCATCCCAAGACGAAATCCTTGACAAACAAAATAGGGATATGGATGGCCAAGAATCTCCACACATATTCACTAGTAGAGGAGGAAGGACTTATTGAG